GACCTGTGAACCTGATCTTGTGAGGTCACGAGTTGCTGTGTTGATGGCCAACCTGTCAACTCTTGTAAATTCATGATGAAATTCATTTCATGAACTTACAGGCGATAACAGGTTTCATCACGGTGGCTCAACGAGCTTGCTCCAGCTTCACAAGAGTTCACAGGTTTCACCAGAGTAAGACTCGTAAACCGGGACTAGTGAGGCCACAAAAATGCTCCCTCCCTGTGGGTGTGTGGTGATTCTATCGTCGGGTCGTCGCGCCGGTGGGCGGAGCGAGGCGGCGTGGCGGCCGCCGCGTACGAGTTTTGTTGCGTGGCGTTCAAATTGTTAAAGGGTCGACGATCCCTTTAACAATTTGAAAGAGTCTAATCCTTTGCTCCAATGACAACTCGGGAGTACGGTAATGCAACTCCGGGATTGCCGCGTCGCGGCGTGCCGCGCAGCGACGCGGCGCGGCGTGTGCGGCGTCGCCTGACTTGCCGACGATAGAATCGCCTGGGTGCCCCTCCCTGTCGCCAAACTGCGACTGAATGATCATTTAATTTTCACCCACCGTTTCACCATGATATTTTAAGGATGCTGAACGCATGCGCGGAGCGCTGACTGGAACAACCGTGGAGGGCCGCACGATTTCCGTGGAGTACATGCATTAACGTCAGCGGCCAGTTGATTCTGAAGAGTACTCTGCCGCGCTCTTTTTTCTAGATTCTGTTCAGTATTTATTCTTTACTTCTTCATCACACTCCAGTCGTCTCGTAATTAAGTTTATTAGCAGTTGTTTTATAAAAAAACTTTATGGCGAGTAGTTGTTCCCTAAGGTTATTGTCTCGCTTGTGTCGTTGTGTTGTTACGTAGCTTATTTGAAAAGAGGGCAGCCACTACTGCCTGTTGAAGGGTAGCGGTGACTCTTCATGTTATTGTGCGGCTATTCCAAACATTTTCCTATCACGTGTTTCTTTTGTTATAATAAGATACTCATAGATTTCAAGTGTTCTGTTGATGTTTTCGTAAGGTCACGTTTGGAAGCTAACCTTCAGCATATAAAGTGTTGCTTGTGTACGTGTGATTAGAACAAGATAGAAGACAGCGGGGAAAAGGAATGGTTCTGAGGATGATGGTTAAGGAGCGCAGTTGGAGGTAAAGGTTCCTCCAAATGAAGCTTCATGCTCAGGACAGAAGACAATTTTGACACGTAAAAGGGCGGGGTAAGGACGTTAGGAGCTAGCTGTGCAGAGAGCTCTCTACCCCGGAGGCGAGGTCTCCGCCCACCTTAAAGATGCTGTATTCTGGTGCACTTAGAACTACTTGTGCTGACTGCAGCCTGCAGACATTGTGCGGAAACTGACGACAACGTTATTACAGTTGCGGTTGGCACCAGACGACTAGAATGGTAGGTGTGAAAACAAAGCGACAAAAAGGACTGGGAAGAGGAAGATGAAGGCTCTGGTTCCTTTTGGCGAAGTTAGAGCCCCTATCTAATCTGCGAGCATGAAGATAGCATATTGAGAAACTCGTCCGAACGCCGCGGTGTCAGAGATGTGAGTGGGGTCTTATCGAAAGCATTGCTGGCGTTTGTTTTCTTCCGTTTACTCATATGAGTGCCACATGGTGGTTCATATTTGAGAGCCATAACCTCCATTCCACGGCGCGGTTACGCTTAGTGGGACATTTCGCTGGTTCCCATCGATCACTGCCAGTTCCTTCTGTAAAAACCTGTGAAATCCTGTGAAATCCTGTGAAGTTTCGCAGTAGCATGAGGTTTGTTTGGACTTGACGAGAGTTCACAGGTTATTCCAGGTGAGATGTGTAATCTAACAGGAACCTGCAAGAGAAGCTAGCGAAAGTGCAAAATGCCCCCTCCCCTATGAGTTATACCTTGCCACCGTAAAAAATTGCATTCATACCCCTCGACAGGGTGTACGTTCGGGCTCCAAAGGTGTCACCGCCATCAATTTCTGCTGGCGTTTAGCTGACTGATTGGACGATATCACTGCAATAATGTGGGTAGGATCACATGCAACCTCCACCAAGT